CGGAAGAGTGAGGTATGGTTTTCTAGCTATTTTCCATGCTCTAGCTGCTGGTTGGGTAGGATTTCAGAGATTTCAAGCGTAGATCGTTCAATTTTTAAGTTAGGTTTCAGCAGACTTTTGGGTCACTGTTCTGGCCACTTCCGGCCAGTTTTTGGGGTAGGTCCAAACAAAAGTGGTTCCAAATAGGGTGTTTTACCTAGGATAGGAGTCTTGAGCCGAGATGTTGAGATTTTCCGGCGAAGCGTTATCGCTTTAGGCACCACGCACTGCCGGCGCGTGGGCGGTGCGTGAGCAGTAAGGTGGGGACCACAGTCAGTCCTAGAATAATCTCCTAGTCCCCACAAGCGTGTAGGATTTCGCAAATCTTAATTCGGATAACGTTTGAACCCCGAACGGATCTCGCCTAGTGTGTGATTTCCGGGTTCGATACCTTTGAATCGTTGGATCACAGTCAATTTTAAGTATGTTGATCTAGGTAATTTCAGGATTGTATAGCATTTGACGGATCGTAAAACGGAGTCTCGGATACTCCAGAAATGTCAGCCCTAGAGCGAGTTTTAGTAAACAAACCAGTTACAGATCATGAACAAAGGAAAGAACTACGTGTGGCTTGATCCCTCAGTAAGGGTACGTAGGCAACCTACAGTTATCAGGCGCAACCACGAGTTAGGGGCTCATGGTTTATGTTACTGTTTTCAGGGTATTTTGGTATTTTACGACCTACAGTCACTAGGTGTCAATTTTAAACATGATTCGGCCCGGATTTCAAAGTGGAATTTGGGTCGGGTCGTTTCATAACACCACTTCTAATTTGGATTAATCTTAATTTTCAGCAAAATTACGAATTTGGCCTTAATCTAACGGAAAAGTGGATGGCGTTCTTAAGAATCTGACTGTAGGTCCTCAATTGGTGATTTTAAAATAGTTGGAGTTCTTAATTTACCGAAAAGCTTATTAAGAAACTAAATTGACAATATGAAAATAGTTAAGGGGCAAAACTGCAGCAAACCCTTGATTTTATGAAGATGATGCAGACAAATGAGGCACTTTGGAATTGTTCTCTAATACCCTACCACGTAATTTTCACGGAAGAAGATCAACTAAGGCATCATCACAAATGAAACTTTACAATCTCATTCAACATGGCTATTGACCAGTTTAGCCAATATAAGTCCTTGCTTCGTACCGATGGCTTCTAGTTCCAAAACCATCGCATACATTATACATGCCTCAACATTTAGATTAAAACAATCTAAACTAGGTGGTTTCCATACAATTCTTGTGCAAGAAGAATTGTTTGGGCCTAAGAATTCCACACGCCAGCCAAATTGAAAACTGGCCCATAATAGAAAAATAAAAGAATGGGCCTTGACTCCAGAAAACAACCCAATCGACTTTGGAAGCCCATGTCTTGCAAAAGTGGCAGAG